CCCCAAAACCCCAAAACCCCAAAACCCCGTAAAAGCTAAAAGTTTGATGGATCAATTTTATGAAATTAAAACTTATAATTAATCTTCATTGAGTACTAGTGAAATGAAATAAATCTTGAGAAGTAAAGCTCCTAGGTCAGAACTAAAAGTTGCAGATCATTAAAGTAGGCACTGTATTATCAAGAATCTTGATATGGCTATTAAATTGTTTGGTGGCTAATGAATTTCCAGTTGAGCAACTGACATTAGAAGATTGACTGAATGCTTATCTTATCTCATCAATAGAGCAGGTTCTCTCATATATCATCAGCTTGCCAACGTTGAAAAGATAATTATTGCTCTCCCATATCTCAATCTTGAATCTTTGTACTCTATTCTTGAGGATTTATTCAAGATCATGCCTTATCATATGATAATAATTGAAGTAAGTCTCTCTTAGGAAATAGAAAAGCATTTCATCTAATTATTCAATCTGAGTCAAATGATTGCTATCTAATTGCACAGTGTTAGAATTAGAATTCTCTGAAAGCGTCAAATTTGAGTTTTCTATTAGAAGATTATCCTCAGGATTGTATTTAACCTCTGTAAGCTAAGAGTCTTAGAATATTTTGTCATAATCTGATTTGATTTACTCAAAGTTTATTCTTGACTTAGGTTCCTCTAATTTCTTACCCTATTCCCTAAACTTATGCTTCTTTCCTCTGCCTCTTCTTGTCCTCTTCTTTTTGCAAGCTTTCCCCTTTGATATTGATTTGCTTTTAGAACTAATGCCAATAGAATCATCAAAATGAACTCTCTTTTTATCGATGCTATTAATAGAAGAGGAATCTCTTCTAAGAGTATTCTCACTGCTTGATTTTTGCTCAGATTCAAACTTACTCTTTGATCTAGCTCTTGATTGTTGAGAAGATGATCTTTTCTCCATGAATTATTCAAAGCGTTCAAGTCGTGAGGGTTATTCCAAGTTTAAGATCTCTGATTGATGCAGTACATGAGTAAGACTTGTAATAAGTGCTAGAATAGATCTCAATTACTTTCTGCTGAATAATTACTTCTCAAAGCACTGAGAATACAAATCAGATAACATTAGCTTGAATCCTTAAAGCATTTCCTGTTAAAAAGATCTTTGCTCATTTAGATACTTGCTGAGTTTTGGTAGGAATTCTAGAGGCCCTTACTTGTGAAGTTCACGAGAAATGTCTATAGGCCTACCAATTTCAAGAAATCTCTAAAGCTGTAGCTAGTAGTTTATTCCCATTTAAACTTCAACTGACTAGTTTCTTTTCTTGCAATTTTTGACCATAAGATTTGAGTTTAATACACAATAATATATATTTGGTTAATATTATTAATAGTAAATCAAAACATCAATTAATATCCAATATCCTATCTCATGGGGTTTTGGGGTTTTGGGGTTTTGGGG